AATACTTATTGATGTGGCTAATACTTATTGATGTAGCTAATACTTATTGATGTGCCTAATATTACTACAGGTCTGGGTGTACAATTGGGCTAGTTCTTCCCTTATTGAGAGATACAATGATCGAGTTTGATGGTGATGGGTGAGTACCGTTAATAATCATCTTCTTCACTATATTGTCAATCAAGCTCAAATGAGAAACAAACTCAGAACCTTTCCTATTTTAAAATAGTCAAGTCTTCTTTTGCTGAGATTAAATATAGCTGTTCAATTTAGCAGCTGTTGATATTGTTAGAATGTATTGGAGCTATTTTCATTATATTTTTGGTCATGAAATAAATAATTATTATTGCATATTAACCCCAAATGCACTTTAGATTTCATTTCCTGTGAATTAAATCAGTGAAAGTCTTTATGCAGTAAAACCTGTAATTTTAGATGCATATATTTGACGTGACTGTAATGAATGTTCATGTGCTTTTAGGGGTTTTTGCTTGTGTTCAAACTACAGGAGACACATCCTTAAGCCTGTATCTGTTCAAACAATGTGGTAAGTTTATTGATAAAAGTATTGAAAATACTAAAAAAAGGTCAGAATAATTCATGCTGTACAATATTGTAAGCTTTAGAAATATGTAGTTCCAGAAATCATCCGTACCCACCCCACAGAGGAATTTGGAATTTCCGAAGAGTAGGGGGGTCAGAGAAAGAACAAAAATTACAGAGTTTGTTTGRAAGAAAATTGGAATTTCTGGGGGGTAGGGGGGTGTCTTAAAAAAATTCCCCCGTGAGGGGGGTATGGGTAAATTTTGGAACTACACAATGAGACATTAGTCATCCAAGGTGTTGCTTCAGGAATCAAGGGAAGCCTCTTGCATTCAGGTGGTTCACCTCTCACTTCTGGGGTATCAGGTATTGATTCCTGGACTCACCATCACATTTGAGAAAACATGATTAGGTCTCTTCCTTGATTCAAGGATTTTTCTCTGGGTTCTCCAGTTTTTATCCCATCACAAAACTCAATGGGCTAAATTCAATCTACAAGTTAGCTGTTAGCTGATCAACCCAGTCAGGTTGTTACAGTGTTATTGATCAAGTTTTAAAGATTGATTGTCTATGTGGCGTTTATAAAATGCCATAATAATCTCCACATTAAAAAGTAATTTTTAAACACTAATGTACATATATTGTACTTCCTGGAAATCAATTGTAGGACGGCAGTACAATGGGTTCATCGGTGTGGAGACAATGCCAGGAAGAACAATCAGTTCCCAAGTGGACAGTCCCACCAGTGGACTACTTACTATTCCAGTAGAATATCCTCTGAACAATCATGCATTAAAGAATGGTATGTCATATAGGCCTTTTGTGAGATAGTGAACATGGTGCATTCTGGTCTAGCATGGGTAAAGCTGTAGCTAAATTGCCATTAGACCTTTTTAGCTTATGCATAATCCTTTCCCATTTCAGACCAGATGTCATTCTCTTGGACATAAGATTTTTTTTTGATTCGTATCCATATTAATTTTGATCCTATTACTCCCTGTTGCAGTCAATTTTACTTGTTATTTGCCCTTCTTTTATTTTCTATCACTGCACATATTACATATACAATTAACTATGGATAGGATTTTAGCTTGATTCTTCTTTTCGTAGGCTTGAGATGGAAGATGTTGACTCAGTACTATTTGTACCTCCAACAGGAACAACGTAAGCATTACCTAATTAAAGTTATAATAATAAAGTCTCCACTATATAAACAGTCATTATTTTCATGTTTGATATATATTTTTATTTAGAAATGTGATTTGATTACTTACAGGCCAGAGCAGGAATTAATGATGAAACTCATTCGACACAAGCTCAGAGAAGTAAGTAAATATTATTTATGAGTGATGAATAACTTAGACTATGATTCGAATGCATGTTTGATATTAGTGAGGAATGTGATGATGATGACGACGGCGAGGATGATGGCATTAGAACCACATTCTTTGGCATTTTTCCATTTTATTCACTAAAAATAATTTCATATTTCTGCTCAGGTAATGATGAAAGTCGATCTTGAAGATGTGACAAGTAGACAGGTATAAAATCAGTCAATATAATTTGCTACTGCTGTTGTTGCTGCAGCTGTTACTGTCATTGCTGCTGTTGTTGGTGCTGCTGTGCTGTTGTTGTTGTTCCTGTAGTTACTGCAGCTGTTAATGTTGTTTGTGTTGATGCTGTAATTGTTGCTGCTGTGTTTGCTGCTGCTGTTGTTGTTACCTGTTGTTGTTGCTGCTGCTGCGGCTGCTGAAGTTGCTGCTGTCATTGTTCCTCCTGTTGTTGCTGAGCACTGCTGTTTTTGCTGTCATTGTGTTGTTCCTGATGCCGTTATTGCTGTTGCTCTTGTGTTCACCGTTGGTAATGTTGCATTGTTATATTGCATGCAGTAGATACCTGAAGTTAAACAATTACTTCCATTCCAATCAGATTCGTAAAAATCTGGAGGAAGAAATGCAAATGGATCTCAAAGAATACAAACAGTACATTGATGAAGAAATGTTGACCATTCTTGGACAGCTTGATAGTGCTTCACAGATATATGACCATGTTTATTTGGTAGGTAACTTGTGAGATAAAGTTGCCAATAATACTTGATGTGTCTCTGCAATTTCAGTTAACAGTGACTTGCAAATTTGACAAAATTGTTTGGTCAAATAGATATCATATGCTAAAGAATGTTTGTGGGAATTTGCAAGTTTGCATGTGTGATCGGCAAATTGTACTATAAACCAGTAAAGTCACTGAGATTTTTTGTCTTGAATAAGATTGTATTGTGATTATTAAGATGAAGAAGAAGTTAAAGACCATGTTTATTTATTTATTTTATTTATCTGACAGGGTTCTGAATGGAATGCATCAAATCTAGAGGAACTAAAACAAAATGGGTAAGTACTTTANAAAATATAGCGATAAATATAACGATTTAAGTACATATAGAGCCGGCGGGGAAAGTTCTCTTGAAATCAGGGAAAATAACAAGATAAAGATGCAAACTTAACCGTGTGTCTCTTTTTTGTCTTTTCAGTGCTGGTTTTACTGTTGTCGTAAAAACAGATTTGAATGGAAATCTTATGAGGTAAAAATACTTGTTCAAATCCCCTCTGACCAAGTTATGCACATTTCTTGCGAAGGAGGGTCGAAAGCTACAGCCGTAAAAAGACGTTCGTTTCAAAAGATTGAATCCTGCATCCTATTATGTTAACCACAGCTTAAAAAATAATCCAATTTTCATTGTTTGAAAATAATTCTAAATCAAACAATTTCACAACAAATGAAAAAAGCTTCCTTTGACAACTACCCAGAAAATTACCCAGAATGCGCCTGATATATTGATATATCGATATGTATGTTGTCAGATACTTATGTGCCAAAGACAGGACAGAAATGTACAGATGGGTAGCGGCCATATTGAATATGAAGGTAATCTTGCGTTTATTGAGATTTGCTATAGATCAGTTCCACTTAAAGGGAAGGTCTGTTGTCCGTATCGAGACTCAAATGATTCTATGGTTCTATGGTTCTAGCATCCAGAAGGTATATGGACAGACCCTATCGCTGCAGCAGAGTTGAAGACACGAAGGGTAAGAGCTTGTTGAAATCTGAGAAACTAATGACGACAAATCGCAAAATAGACGCAACAGAACAACAGCAAAACATCAACCAAAAAATAAAGTGACGTTTTGGATTTTTTTCCTAGGAAGGTTTTTTATTGCTTCGCTTTTTTCAAAACTTGTTTATGCGCCTATAATCGTGATTAGTATAAGTTTAGACTTGCTTGCTTGCTTGCTTGCTTGCTTGCTTGCTTGCTTGCTTGCTTGCTTGCTTGCTTGCTTGCTTGCTTGCTTGCTTGCTTGCTTTCTTTCTTGCTTTCTTTCTTTCCTGTTTTCCATAAACGTTATTTTTATGTTTATTAACACATTGCCTATTTGTATTTTCATAGGATTGGATATATTTTAAATATTTCAAGGGAAATAGATAATTTCTTTTATGGAACTTTTAAATACTTCAATGTTAGGTAAGTCTGTCTTGGTGTGGTTTAAATACTTTAACTTTTCTGCTTCTTTTGATCAATATGTTAAGACTAAGATGAATGACAATCACAATGGTGGTGATGCCCATGATGATACATGTAATGATGTTGATGGCGATGATGATGATGAAGATGATACATGGGTTGATGATTGATGGTTTCGATGATGATGGTGGTGATAATGATAGTGATGATGAGGTTTATGGTGATGATAAAGATGATGATAATTGTGATGGTGGTGATGATGATAATGTTGAAGAAGATGAAGATGTTGATAGTGAAGATAATGATGATGCTGATTGTGATGATGATTATAAAGATGATGATTTTGATGGTTATGTTGATGGTGATGATGATGATAATGATGATTTTTATTAGACAATTTTGTTAATGATGAGGATGGTCATAATGATGTTGATTGATGTGGTGATGAATGATGATGGTGTTGATCATTATGTTGGTAATTATGGTCTTAGTGATGAATCGTAGTTGAAGCTGAAGATCTAAAATTCCAATTCTTATTTTCAGAATCTATGATGAGGAAGAATCCGACCTCATGTCTCACTGGGACAAAACTTACAAATTTATAAACGAGGCCAAGTAAGAACAAAAAATAACCTACATATTTGGACTTTATTTTTATTGCTATTTCATATTCAAGCAAAAAATTTTTTGTTTCGTTTTGTTTTGTAGAATAAATGAATCAAAAGTCCTTGTACATTGTAAGATGGGCATGAGCAGATCAGCATCAACGGTAAATAGCCTTTTTCTCAGTTATCAGGACATTTTGCACCAACCCTGGCACTTAGGAAAGGTACCTATGTTTATTGGTAGGGGAGGGGCTTGGGGATTCACAGTAAACCCATAAAAATGGTTGTAACCCTCCCCCTTCCACTCAGTAGGAAATTCATGACCCTCCTATTAAGTCAACCCTGCCCTAGCTTATGCCAAAATAAAAAGGTTTGGTGAAAACCAAACTAAAGTTTACATTTCGCTTACAAATGAACACAAGAAAAGAATTCAGAGAGAACTTTTGGTTTTTGTGTTTTAGGTGATTGCATATGGAATGAAAGAGTTTGGCACTTCTCTCCATGATACAATGAAGTTTGTCAAATCAAAAAGAGCTTGTATCAACCCAAATGCTGGATTCTGGAAACAGCTGGTGACTTACGAGGGGATTTTGAATTCAAGGTATGTAGGGAATGCTCACTATTCTCTTTAAATCTCTTTAGAAAAGGCGTATAAAACTATTTCTGTGCATATTTACCGCAGATGGGATCGCTTTAGAATAAGGGCGACGCTGCTGTAGTGCACTCGCCTCTCACCTCTGGGGTCTCGGGCTCGACAGATATCTTTACTCAGCATCATATGTGAACAGAGGTTGTTAGGTCTCTCCTTGATTAAATTTCTTTTCTGTTCTTCTTCATTTTGAAAAGTAAACTTTTCTTTTGACTTTTATCCTTAGCAAACACAGGTACAACGAACTCTTCACAAGTGGTCGTCGACGGACAAACTCAGCTGATTTAGAAGGAAGAAAAGGCGTAAAGCGACGACGACATCGCCGTAAAAACAAGTCCAAAACTGTTACAATGGGTGCCAAGATAGATACTGAAGTCATCACAGAGGACACTGGTGCTTGTACATCGGAAAGAAGTGTCTTCAGTGATGAAGAAGCCGATCAAGACATGAGTAGTCCTTCATCTAGTGGCTGTGAACCGTCCGATGACGCTTTAAAAGACTGGGAGAAAACCAATGTTTGCAGCAACCCAAGTAGCCCGTGCAATTCAAGGTCAGAAATCCCTGATTTTAGTAAAGATGAACTTGACGACCAAATTGGTGGATTGGTATCTGCTGGGAAAGAAAGAAAACAAAAAAATTCTACTCTTCATCGTGCACACTCTGTCCCGTCTTTAATCAGTGATGCCTCGAAGACTTCTGAAGGCGAGGATGTTACAGAGAAGGAAGAGGGTTTACACCGTTGTAACTCATTAAGGGAGTTCCTAAGTGGAAAGGTTGCTGCATTGAAAAAGGATTATACTTCGGGGTCTTTAGGCTCAGTCCAGAAGAAGCACAAGAAAAAATCTGATTCGCCCGAAAAGAAACCCGAAGAAGAAGCCGTAACCGAGGTCATCGTTGAGAAAACTAAGTTACGCAGTACTTTGAGTGATCCAACAAGCTCTACGTCTTCAGATGCAATTAATGTGAAATCCGAAGACGAAACTATGAAGGCAGAGAAAGAGGACGTCGGAAGCTCTCCGGATCAGAGTCATATCGTGGTCCATCGTGACGCGCATGATGTTGTTAAGAGTGGAATAGTAAAACGTCAATCTAGAAACTTTGAAGAAGGAAAAGTTAATTTGCCTTGGGATTTGGAAGAGACTTTGATTGAACCGAGCGCTAGAGAAGACGTAGAAGACGCAAAAATGCAAGAAAACGAGCCAATGAAACCAGAGGAACAACCAGTTACAGAAGATGAACCGCCAAGTGGACTTGTAAAAATGCATGCTCAAAAATTCCAAGGGAATTTCTCTCAAGAGGCAAAAAACAGTGGCTCTGATTGCGAGGAAGAGAATGAAAGCAAAATCGTCTCGCCCGACCGAGAAATAAGAGTCGAGTCGCTATTTCCAAGTAATAATCCCAGAAAGGTTGTTGTTCTCGATGCAAATTCGACTCCCATCGTACCGGAATCCAAAGACTCGGTAGAGAGTGATAGGATAAGACAAGAAATGCTGAAAGCTAGGGCACTGTTTGAGCAGGACGTGTTGAAAGTCAACGAAGATATGTTACAAGAAAAGATGAAGAGACGGAGTTACTTGAACAAGAAGAGTACGGAAGAAGTTGAAAGTCAAGAAAAAGTTGATTCTGTCTCCACTTGTGAAAACCAGGAATGTTGTTCTGAAGTGTGTGAGGATGTTCAAGATGTGGATGAAAGCTCACCTAACGAAGACCCCCGTCCTGGAACTGTTCTAAAACATTTGAAAGCGATAAAACATAAATATGGCGCAACAGTCTCCACTAAATCAGGAGTTGACGAAGTGGAAGAGGATTCACCCCCAAAAGTCAAAATCGAACACGAATCTCTTGGAGCTTCAAAGAAAGTTTATGTGACTCAAAAGAGTGAGGATAAAGTTAGTTATAAGGTTGAAAATCCTGGGAAATTAGAAACCAAGTCGAACGAGAATGACCCCATAGACGCTGATTTGTTGCTACAAAAAGTGAACGAGGACATGAAAAAGGAAAAAGAGCAACGAAGAACAGCTGCAGTTTCAAGCGACTTAAGCGTTTTCGATACCTCAGGTGAAGATAAAAGCACGCTCAAAGACGTAACACCAGAGGATGAAGATGCCGAATCTTTGAAAGAGCAAGATGAAAGCGAAACCAGTGAAATTCCTCGTCCAGGCATTGTTAAGAGAAGTACGGACTTGTTATTAGGAAAAGTTCGTCTCGAAGAAAAGTTGCCGGCGCAAGCGGAAGTGGGAGTTGAAGATACGACAGATGCAGATAACACAAATCCACACACTCCAACTGCGGAGACTGAAAATTTAAAAGCTGAGGATAAAAAGGAAACGGATGATGTTGTTGATTCTTCGGGGATTGTGAGCGTTAAATTGCGGCTAAAGTTAATGGAAGAAGTAATCCAGGGAGCAAACGAGCGAGAATGTCATAAACAGCGAACGAGGAGCGCTCTTGCTGCGTTAGAGGATAAAAGAGAACGTATCGAAAGCGAACAGATAAAAAGGGAGAGTGAAAATGCGATGAAAGAACGAGAGGATAGCAACCTGTCAGCTGTAGAAGGTGATTGCAGCGATAGCGTAGCTGTGGCAAGGGAAAAAAAGACATTTTTCATTGTTAGTGATGATGGAGAAGACCTAACAGCAAAAGGTAACGATGAAATGACTAAAGATGATTTGAATGCTGAAGAGTCTCTTGTTGTTGGGAATGTAAGACTCAGGACCTTATTGTTAGAAGAGCGCATTCATAGCTCAAATGAAGACTTCAGTAAATCCAAACCTGGAGTATCCGTACGAAGGCACGAGTCAATGCCGAGAAGCACCCGACCAGTCGACCGGCCTGTTGTTCGGCAAAGGTCATTGTCTGATCTCAATACGGGAGATAAACCATCGACTTCTTCAGGCATCGTTGCGTCGACCAATCGTTGGTCCCTTGACTTACGAAAAGACAAAAACAGAATTGCCAAATTGATTGGAAATCAAGACGATGAGCTCCCAGACAATGATAGAGATTCCGAAAAATTCAGTGACGACATGTCAGAAAAATCTGACAAAACTGATGACTGTCTATCAAAGCCGGCAGTGGATATATTTGAACTGGGGGATAAAGATTTAGAACTTTCAAAAGAAGTGATTCAAATTCCAGATTTAGACAATAAAGACATTGTGTAAATATTACAGTAAAGCATTGCTTAGRAAAAGAGTTCTGACAAAAGTTATTGTGATTAAGCTTGAAATGTTAAAAATATTATTCAAAGCTATTATTTTTAATACTTTAAAAAAGTTCGTTTTAGAATTACATTTAGCAGGAAAAATAGTGGTGAGACAAAAATTGTAATTTTCTATCCATTTGTATTTGTTTACATTAATTCTGTAAAACAATTCTTTTATAAGAATCAAAATTTTTTTAAAGTGAGATAGAAAATATTAAATATTTTTTACTAATAGATGATGGTACTTGGTGTTTGATATCCCTGTTGCACACACATAAATAACAAACAGGTGTGATAGGCTAGATCAGAAACTTGAAGTGACTAGTAAGATAAAAACTAGCAATAATCTTTGTTTTTTTCTTGTGCTTTCTGTGGTAGGTTGTAATAGCCCCCTTGCAGTCCATCAGAATCCAGCTCATTTCTTGAGGACATAGCAATAGGTTTCCAATTCTCAAGAGATTGAAATTCTTTTGTTTTGTCCCCCAATTTGAGCTGCTTTGACGTCACATGCAAGGGGTCTATTGGGTGAAATTAAATTAAATCAAATCAAATAAAAAACTAACTAATTAGTGCTGGAATATATAGCACTATTCAAACAATCAAAATTGCAAACAATCCGTGAAATACTATTAACTAAATAGTACAAAATAGTGGAAAACAATGGAATTTGCATGAAATTGTGCTATTTAGTATTACTAAAGTTTCATGGATTTACTGTGGTCACTACTATTTTGTTTAAGTACAGTACTTTTCAATGATTTTATAAAAAAATATCTAATTCCATAGACTTGTTTATTGTTATTCTTATGGGGGAAAAGTGCCCCCCCTGACCCCTGTGTGCACCCACTGCGGTCCTGAATAGTTAAAAAATGGAAATAAGGAGTACTAGTTAACCTATATTAGAGTAAATCAGTCTAGAATAGGCAGGGTGAAAAACCAAGATCTTGGTGAATAGCTTTACTTGCCCTCCCCTCCCTCACGCATAAAAGCCACAAAAATGTCATGTTTAGAATAAGCCAATCATATCACACTATGGAGACGTTTCTCAACCAATCAGAGAACGTGTTCTTTCAGGGCGCCGTAAAATAAACGTTTGATTTTAAAAAACATTCACGTCGACTCGACTTCGCCGGGCAATTTTCTTGTTCGTCCTATTTTAAACCCCTTTTTCAACTATTCCTTTGGAAATTCATCCAAAATTAAACTCTCAATGAGTGAGGATTTTATTTTCTAACATGGCTGAGTCAATAACAACGCGTTGTGCCAAGTTGAATCAAATTTTCTTGAGCAAAAATGGCGGGCGAAAGGCGAGCAGTGTTCTTTCCAAGGAGACGCTTCTTGATGCATTTTTGGTTCTCTTTGACGAGTGTAAATCAGAAGAACTATTCAAGGACAAGAATATGTCATCATTTGTAAAGAAGTGTAAGTTCTGTAGTTCTTGATGTCGATATAAACTTGTATTACTTGTCTTGTATTTGCTTAAATCGTCTTCTAGTTCCAACATGTTCACTCATCTTCTCGAAAATTTTCTCCAATATTTTTGCATCAAGAAGTCTTTTTCACTCAATACACTTGCTTTAGATTTTATGCTTATCCTTGCCTATGAGAAAATTTAAATTTTATAAGTATAAGTACGAGTTTCTTGTATAATACAATAGGTAATTGAATTATGTTAAATAACTTATTTGTCCTAAATTATCATAAGCTTACATATTTTATTCTTTTTCAATGTCTTCTTCAAAATTCTATTCCAGATTCTCCGACGGTAGAAGAATTAAGAAAACTTTGCTTAAATAAAGATGATTTTGATGTCATAAATACGATAGGAAGGGGACATTTTGGACAGGTAAATATAAATTTTAATTCAACCAAGTTTATTACGCAGTGTCTAGCAGAAATTCTCACCAAGAAGTGTTTTTTAAATTTTATATTTCAAATAAGAATTTTTTGAAAATAGATATTAATTTTGATTGATCATTTCTAAATATTTTGGCGCCCGTAGGAAAGGAATTTAATAACGGTTTCAAGGAGTGTAAAATACTTCAAATGCCCTTTCTAATTAACGTCTAGATAGCAAATAAAAAAAGATTAAAAAAAGATGTCTCTTGATCTTTACCTGAATACGCTATCTCAGAGGACATCTTAATCTGATGTGGTCATTGTTGGATCATTTTCCAACTGCCTCTTTCTAGATTAATTCATTCTGTTTTTTTAAAAACTATTTTTTATTTAGTTATGTTAGTCATGCATGTCTTAGCAAACATGACTTTGGAGTAATATATTACATTTGACAAGTTACAAGCAAATTTTGAATCTGTGTACTCATGATGTTGATGTTTATAGACAAAGTGAAATCAGTGGTGCAGTGATCAAGTTGTTTCTCTGCAAATTTTATGTTTGCACATAAATTATCATTTAGAAACATCTAAATACTTTTTGGGGGGGGGGGAGGGGGGAGTCAGAAGTTCACCCTAAAGCTCCCCACCCCCATCTACATAATATTCAATTTTCATCATCTCAGTTTGCAGTTGTTCACTCTTCACATTTCTGTAACACATTCATATAAACTGTCCTTCAGACTATTTGTATCAGCTCTTAAAAATTCTAACCTAGCTCCCCTTCCCTCGTCTCTTGTGAAGGTTTTTTTTAAAACTCTTTACATTTACAGGTCCAAGTGGTTAAAGATAAGCACAGCGGAGATGTGTATGCAATGAAGACTCTGAATAAGTCTCAAACACTTGCCCAAGAAAGTGTAAGTTGATGAGAATAGGTTAATAAGCTATGAAGAAAGTATAGAATAATTTTATAATATATTCAATTATTGGTCTCTAGCTGAAAGGTATACCCTAAAAAAATCAGAGTCACTGATATAATCAAACCCATGACCTTCGGATGCTGGTCGAATGCTCTACCACTAAACATAGGTTATACTCATAGCACTGAGTGTAAGTTGTAGTGCTGCCTATATTAGTACTTAATATTATTACAATTTACCTTCTGGATTTCATATAACAGGTCACAATTATGTAGGTGAAAAAATTGTATACTGAACCTTTGCAATAACTGATGCTATCAAGCAATTTAGTTAATATATTATTAGTTTATTTGCTGATAAAATGTTTCAGGTTGCATTTTATGAAGAGGAGCGAGAGATCATGGCAACAGCCAACAATCCCTGGATCACCGCTCTTCAATATGCCTTCCAAGACYGCCACTGTCTGTATTTTGTGATGGAGTATCAACCTGGTGGAGACTTGCTGTCTCTACTCAATAAATATGATGATATCTTTGAGGAAGATATGGCAAGGTTTTACCTGGCGGAGATAGTCATGGCTATTCACAGTTTACATGTGCTTGGATTCGTACATAGGTAACTAGTGGAATAAATAAATAACAACATATGAATARCTCCGAGTCATCAAGGCTGGTCTTCTCTTTCCTCCTCAATATATCAGGTCCCGGTTGTACGAAGGGTGGACAGTGCTATCTGAGGGATACAGTGGACAAATATATTAGATAACTGCACTGACTTACCCTTCATACAACTGGGCTTAGCTCTAAGTTTAGTTGAGACAAGCAATTGAAAGTCATGATCACTTTGAAATAATCTGCAGACCTCAGTAGGACGCACACTAGTCAACATATAATACTGTACTTGCTTCTCTTGCATATGACAGCCATACAAGTATTACTTTTAATCTATTTTTTAGGGATGTCAAGCCAGACAATGTCCTTATTGACAGGACAGGACACATCAAGCTAGCAGACTTTGGATCATCAGCCAGACTATCTGCTGACAGAATGGTAGGTTTACGAGCCTACAAATTAGTCCTGGACATCAAACGTTTGTGCAGTAATTAGTTGTTTTGACAGAGTCAGACCCAAATTGAGCTGTTGACACACGAAGAGTGAATTACCTCAATCACAGTGTTTTTTGAGGAAAGATCTCTGTTAGGCTAATGTGTGACAGATCTAATATTTTTAGTGGTAATGGTAGCTGCTGTTCATTTCTATATTTGATATTGTTTCTCAGTCCATTAATATATTTAATATTTTCACTAGGTCTACTCTAAGATGCCAGTAGGCACCCCAGAGTACATAGCGCCTGAGGTTCTCACCAGTATGGATGGTTCAGGTGGCCCTTATGGTGTCGAGTGTGACTGGTGGTCCCTGGGTGTGGTTGCTTATGAAATGCTCTGTGGACAGACACCTTTTGAGGCTGATTCTGTGGTAATTACCTACAGCAAAATCATGAACTATAAGGTAAATGCAGACTCATAGAAAGATTTCTTGTTTGTTGGTTGGGCTTCCTGTGTGCTGTTCCCAGGCTAGTCACTGAATTTATGTTATTGTTTCAACAGTCATCAATGCGTTTTCCTCCTGATCTGAAGATAAGTGCAGAAGCAAAGAACCTTATTCTGTCCCTTTGTACTGGGAGTAAAGACAGGCTGGGATATGACGGCATTGGATGCCACCAGTTCTTTAATGGGATTGAATGGGAAAAGCTTCAGACTAGTAAGTAAAAGGTCAAAAAAGTCCCAACAGGTTTAAGTCAGCATTAGACTAATATTCCATTAATCAGTTAATAAGATTACAGTAGGAGACTGCTCCTGTGTACATGTTAACAAATTCTAATGATTTTTTTGATTGACAAAAGTCTACTGCCCATTTATCTGTTGATACTGTTGTCTCAATCAGCACATAGCATTTAAAAACAATGCTCTAATCAACAGGGAATAGAATAACTGTGTCACGTTTATTTTTCACTACAACCTCCCATTCCTTCTCCCTTCCTACTTCCATTCTTTCTCTGATCATATTTTCTTTGCTGTGTAGCTGTTCCACCTTTTGTGCCCACACTGGAAGGTACTGACGACACTTCTAATTTTGATGAATTTGAGCCTGACAGTCCTGATCCGACAGACCATCTGCAGAAATACAGCCAGAAGGGTTTTGTTGGCAAAGACTTGCCTTTTGTAGGCTTTTCTTTCATCAAGCATATTCCATCTCCAGGGTCTCCACGAAGGTATGACATCAGTATGACATTCACTGCTCAACAGGGGTAGGGAGCCTTCTGAGGAGTCTGATATATTGTGCAGTTCCAGAAAATATCCAATAGTACATGTACAAAGAGGAGAATTGGAATTAACAAGAGGTACGACTGTACATGTAGGGAGATTGTGGCAGTTTTAAGGACCTGGATGTTTCAACTGCTAATGCTAGTCTTCATCATGCATCCAGCGTGCAGACATGCACACACAACTAAAAATATACTATTGCTCTTATACTAACAGCTCAGACTGTCAATTTAAAATCTTGATCAAATGTGTTACTTTTTAGGATTTACATACCACCAAAAATTGGTAATAAAACGTTTCAATATTTTTATTTCTCCTGTTGTAGACAATCCAGTCTTACCCTTTCACCAGCAAATGCCCAGCAGTCAACCAGCCTTGAGAAACGTCTCAACATGAAGGCCAAAGAGTTGAAAGATGCATTAAATTCATGTCATGTCCTGACTACAGAAAAAGAAAACATGATCAAGTCTTTAGACGATCTGAAAAATACTTTGTCTGAAAAAGAGAAAGCATTAAGAATTGCTGAGAATGAAAGAGATTTGATGGAAAAAGAAAAAGTGCTGTTTGACTCTCAAATTAAGGTAAAGCAACGAAAAGTAAAGTTTTCTTCAGGGCTGCATACTGTCTGTAGTACAATAAAGGTCAATAAAATGAAAAGGATTATCCATCATGTATATAAATCAAAGATTATACTTAATGATACTTACTAATTCATTTGTTTCACGATTGTGGTAGTTGGGAGAATCTTTAGCTTTAGATTTGGTCTGCACACAGGCCACATGTACAACTAAAATTATACTATTGCTCATAAACTAACAGCTCAGACTTTCTATTTAAAATCTTGATCAAATATGTTACGTTTTAGGATTTACAAAGAAGGCTTGACTCAGAAAGAGCTGAGAGGAACAATACCGACTTCAAAACCCTGAAACTCATTACAGAAATCAAACAGAACAGCAGAAAAGTAGAAGAAATGAGAGACCAGGAAACTAAGTGTGTATTCATATTATTGTATTATTATCAAATGATTGTTTAGTGCATATTTTGAGATACTAATAGTTCTTCAAGATTTTGTTAACAAAGTGGAAGGAAAAAAATAAACTTACAGGGGCGGATCCAGGATTTTGTTCAGGGAGGGGTGCTGCGCACAAAGTTAACCCAGGGAGGAGTGCACCCCTTAGAATCAAAGGGAAAAACAGTATTGGTTGTCTTCAAAATAGGGGCACAAAGTAGAACCAGGGAGGGGTGTGCCCCCCCCTGGATCTGCCCCTGACTTATGGCTTGCTGTGAGAATACAATGTAATTTTGTAATTATATTGTAATTTCTTGTAATAATCTCTAATATAACCACTCTCCAGAGCAAGTATTGAGGACCAGCAACAAATAATCTCTGAATTGGAACAAGAAAGATTTATTGCCAACAAGAGAGCTCACAGACTGGAAGAAGAATTGAAAACACAGGAATCCGTATGTGACGACAGCTGAATTCCTTCTAAATTTATTCATTATCTCTCTTCCATTTAATTTTATTTCATTTCTGTCTTGATTTTTTGATTCTGTGATTCCATATTCATTTGTTGTTTCTTATGACATTTAAGGTGATAGAGGAAAGCAAACACAGAGTCAATGATCTTCATTCTAGAATCTCAAAGGTATGAGCACCATATCCACCCTCTTCTATTATCCCTCTACCCTATTCCACTATCTCCTTCCCTCCCCTCCCTTGGACTTTGACATTTTGGTCTCTCCATTGATTGAAGGGTTTTTAAAACTCTGTGGGTTTCGTTTCACTGTTTTCTCCCTAATGCAAAAACCAACACAGTAATTAAATTTGCAGTCAATCAGATGTTTCAAAATTTAATACATCTCGTTTTTTTATGATATAAGTGATTTTGACTTTTTCAACAAATAGATGAATGAAGAAGCCAGGCGTAGCATGGAGGAATGGCAAGCCAAACTAAACAAGGTCTCTGAGGACAGCCAGTGTCGTATCAATGAACTGCAAGACAAACTGAATAAGGTACATTTGTGGCTGTGGTTAATACACCATGTGATGAAGGGGTAAGGAGTGGTGATGGGAGGTACATCTGTGGCTGGGGTTAATACACCGTGTGATGAAGGGGTGAGGAGTGGTGATGGGAGGTACATCTGTGGCTGGGGTTAATACACCGTGTGATGAAGGGGTGAGGAGTGGTGATGGGAGGTCTCATGTGGATATTTTTAACAGCGGCAATAAGTAGCTGGTAGGAAAAGAATTGCTAGACTAATGAGCTTGAGTTTACGTTTCATACTTTTCGAATTCGATTTTGATTTTATAAAGATAATGGGAAAGAAAGAGATGGGAGGGATTGGAAAGGAATTTCCTTGTAAGAGTATTTAATTGAGAATGTATACAGATTTGCGTGTCTTTAATTTAATTTTTTTTAATTATTTTTTTTGTATTTGAATTCCAGTCATTGAATTCTTGTCAAGAAGCCACAGACTTGCTGGAAAATGTCAGAAGAGCTAAAATTGACCTTGAAAAGCAATTAAAAGTAATGCAAGTAAGTTAAAATAGGAAGAAAAATGAAAATCATGACAAATTTAATAATAATAAAGTGCTAATTGTGCAGCCATTCAAATAATTCATGTGATTTACTTATTGGTCTTGGTTCAATTTTTCTTACCAGGAAGAGAAAAAGAAAAGTGAAAAAGATGAAACAGATGGAAAGAAGGTAGAACCCCTGACTAACCAGTTATAATTGTTGTGATTTGGGATTTTATCCCCTTTCAATCCCCAGCCACCCTTCTTACGTTACTCACAAACACCTTTTTACATAAGTCATGTGATACACAGGCTTTAAATAGTGGCCTGTATTGGAACAATGTGCAGCCAGAATATTGGAACTTCTCTGGTCAAATCTTTCCAGTAGATTTTGAAAGTGTAACTGTTATTAGCATCTTTTTAGTGGCTTTTCTTGTTAAAATCAGCTCAGCTTATATACTTTGTAGAACACTGTAAGGAGATCAGACAGTATAGTATCAGCTATCAGGAGGAGAGAGGACTTAGCTCAGCAGATAGTGGATCGAATCAGGGTAGGATAATAATGGTTATCTTATGGTATAGAAATATTATAGTTATAGTGCTTGGGAACGAGGTTATTCCGGGGGAAAGACCCTTGGAAATAAATTCGAAAAATTAATTTCCGACCTCGCTGGGAATCGAACCCATGACCTTCAGAATTGTACTAACGATGCTCTGCCAGCTGAGCTAGAGGTCAGACTGAGAGCAGGCCGGGGTGAAATAGATGTTAGGTCGCGGCAATTATGATGCAAAGATGAGAATATGTGGACCGCGTAGCACTTATAAAATACAAGATATAGAAATATAGATAAGTTATAGTGCTTGGGAACGAGGTTATTCCGATGGTATCTTATGGTATAGATAAGTATGGCATACTGCTAGGGATGGATTGAATCCACAGCTTTTTGCCAGAAGAACAGTTAAGCTATTTACATCCCAAATAATAAATCAATGTAAATTTATCTTATTTTACTATTTCATAATATTCTAGGCTTGTGGGGAGTTCCAAAATCAACTTAATGAAGAAGGCAATTTCCGTGAAAGGTACAAGGAAAAAGCAGCTGAACTAAGGAAAATGTCATCTAAAGTCATGGTGAGCATTGAGATGTGGTTGGTGGTACTTATGATAATAAATGTTGATAGAAGTGGTGATGATGATGATATATGGTGATGATGATTATACATATAGTAATAGATAGGAGTGTTGATAATGATGGTGATACATGATGGTGTATGATGATGATACATGATGTATGATGATGATACATGATGATGTATGATGATGATACATGATGATGATGATTATACATATAGATAGGAGTGGTGATAATGACAGTGATACATGATGATGTATGATGATGATACATGATGATGATGATGATAAATGTTGATAGTAGTGGTGATAACGAAAATGATGGTAATGATGCTTATGATGATGAAAGACGACATCAGTCAACAGCAGCCTTATTTGATGATGAATGACCAATCTCCATTATGATAATAGTAATGATGAAAAGGTAAATTATACACCATGAAAAGATGAAAAAACTTACTGACGTTTCGGACGCTAGTCCTTCGTCGGAGTAAAAGAGGATAATATTATGATAATACAGAAGTTTGCCATTTTTCACATTGGGCAGTACTTTTCTTATTGGTGTCATACATTGCCATCCTGAGAGTCAAACATTCAAGCAAGTTTCAAATTAATATTTTACAATAGGATTTGGAAGACAAGCTGATCAAAAACCAGCGAGAAATGAAGAAGCTTGAACGAGAAGTTACAAGTAAACAAACCATTGAAGAAAAGTTACAGGTAAGCTGGTAATAGTATGTTCTGTATTATATCTACTAGCAAATTAATCTTCCCATTGACCAAGATCTAAATATCGTTTTATTGTTTTTCAAGACAAAAGAGAAAGAACTTACCACAGCCAACCGTTACAAGAGACAACTAGAATCAACCATTAAGAAGCTGCAAGAAGAACAAGATGAGAAAGATAAGGCCATTGAAGCAAGGGACATGGTAAGTGGATACAGCATAACTGTGGCATCTTTACAGTACATGTGAAATGACCATTCAACTACTCAAATACTTGGGCGTGACACCTTCATGGTACAGATTGGGCTGTACATGTATGTAGGCTAAGTTTCATTCCTTTGAAAATAAAAAAGTTTTTTTTTTTGAGTCTTCCTTATTATGTGAATTTGTTTGCATTTTTTCCAATAGAAAATCAAGGTTCTGCAAGCAAGAAGTGAAGAGCAAAGTATTAATGATGTAGGCATACCTGCTACTTCACGACCAGAAGATCTTGCCTTGATGGAGCAACTGAAGCAGGAAAAAGAAGACATTGAAAAGGAATTGCAGAATCAACAACAGGTGAATGAGACTGACTGGTTCTTTCAGTAGAACTACCACTGAAGTTGTTTTGATCATTGTCATCATCACCATCAATGTCATCATCATCGACATAATGAGCATCAACACTAACTATCATCTTCACCATTATTATCAGCAGCACCATAATAATCATTGCCATCATCATCTTCACGATCATCCTCTTCACCATTATTATAATTACCATCATACTCATCATCATCATCGCCATCATAACCATCCATCACCGTCGACATTAACATCATCATCATTGGCATCATATATATGTAGTCATCATTAGTGCTATCATTATCAGAAACATTATTTTAGCTATCATTGCCATTGATGCAGATTATTGTACCACTTTTACTTATCTAGAGAAATCAGAGTCTGTTAGACAAAATCCGCACATCTGAAGACAAAATATTTGAGGTACTTTATAATCTTTTTATTGGATAACATTGTAATAGCAACGCCCAACATCTTACTCTCTCCCTCTCAGTACATAACGATGTCTTTCACTTTATTCTAATGCTATTTGTTTTATTCAGGCACAAAGTGAAATTTCAGAGCTTCAAAGCACAAACAAGTCTCTAGAGGATGCTGTACGGAAACTAGAGGTAACATCTTTAATTTTAAAGAAAATCAACTTCTGTTTTTTTTATTTTTCACACTTGAATGCAGCCCATTTCTACTGACTTTTATTGAATGGCTCATCTAAAATGTCTTATGCAGGTAAATAATATACAAAGCTATCTCTGTTATATACTTTGCTTTTATCCACAGAATGAGATCGATGAGAAGTTACTAAAGCAAGAAATGAAAGTAAGTGTGAATATTGTAATCAGTGGACATGATAGGATTACTAGATGAGGACTAGCCCCTTTTTCTTAAAATTGCGCTTTAAAACTTGGGTTCATACTGTATTTCATGTGGATGATGATGGTGATGATGATGACTAATGATGATGATGATAACTAATTATTATTAATCCTTTTTCTCCAGGCAGCAAGTTTGCTAGCATTTGATGACCTTGAACTACAAGAACGAGCAGAGGTTAGTTGACCAATAGTAGACTTGTTGATATTGTGAATTATGATTGGATAATTGTTTTCTATGGTTACAGATTGCACTGGAACTGCAGCACAAGTTGCAAGAGACGATGAAAGACGTTGAAATCCTTGAGTCCCAGAAAAAGGTATGAAAAGACTGCAATAAAAAGTAATTCAAATTATAACCGTAACCCTGAAACAGCCTCTAAGCTTATCTAATTCAGAATGGGAGGAAAACCAGAGAACCTGCAAAAAAATTCCACAAATCAAGGAAGACACATAAAAGACAAGAAAAATTTACCAAACAAACACTAAACACCAATGATATCAGAGCCTGGAACAGTTCATGACAGGGATGATCAGACTGTCATGGCGTGGCTAACATATTGTTTTATTTAAACAGGAATTAGAATTGAAACTTGATAGCTTGAACGAACAGTACGCAAAGACCAATGTACGACAAGAAAAGATGGAAGATGAGCTAAAAGAAAAGCAACGAAAACTGGAGGGACAAGAACTGGTTAGTAGAAGATTACAAATAGAACATGTGCTTTACCGTCGCTGGCCCAAATAGACCATGTGCTCTACCATCCCTGGCCCAAATAGTAGGTGTTTCAAGAGGGAGGGGTCGGAGGAACTAGGTTCCTAGTGTGTAGGGAGGCGTTGAGTCTTCCTCTTAGTGTCACTGGCAGGGGCTGATGAAGTACCTTCTCAAGGGGATTATAGTAGCTGATAGGTGGTCTGATATTACTGTGTATTTCAGACTATTTCAATGCTCAAGTCTACGTGTTCCATGCTGGAAAGCCAAGTGGAAGAACTAGAAATCATGAATGAAGCATATGAAGAGAAGCAAGCGAAATGGGAAGCAACAAGGTACCCTGAAGTAAACAGTGTCTGAGTAGAAATATATGTGCTGAGGGAAGATAAGTGTTGCAGGAATCAAGGGCTTATCCAGGGTGGGGCAAAGGGGGTCTTTAGTACCCCCCACCTGCTCCCCCTCATTCAGCAATATAGAGTTATAATTGATCAAAGAATAGGAAGCATTTTTTTAAAGATTTTTTCCGAGTTATGTAGTGTCATTCGCAAAATTCGGTCAAGTCCTCTTATATTTTTGACTGGATTCGTCCCTAGGAATAGAGTGTTGGGGGTATCCCTCCCCCTCACACACCGATACGGGCGTGCAAATTTCCTGTAATCTTATATTTAGGAATTCACACAAAAAGCTCTGATCCCCTATTGGTTCGACATCTGCATTGGTTCTCGTGAAGGTAATGTCGGAACACTGGATGAGAGCGAAGCTGTTTGGATTTGTAAAATGTTTAATACCCAAGGCTTAGCAAAAAAAAAAATTAGTTACTTTACAGTCTATCGTCTTCTCTTTAGTGTGATCTTTTCTTTATCGTTTTGTGATTACGCAGGAAAAACCTCGAAAGGAGTAACGAAAAAGATGAACTAGTTATAGCGGAGATCAAACGATCGGCAGAACAAGATAAGCTAGCGAGGTAAGAAAATCACAGTCGATAAGGTAAGGAGATGCTTCCTYATGTATGCTTCCTTACACAAAATAGGTGAAAATAATTGATGTATAATCCAGGTACAGTTGCTATCGTTAGGTTAGCCCTTCTGATCGCAACAATCTTGTGGTATGTTGCTTTTTTCCTCACTCTTATATTCTGCGTAATTATCAACTTTTTGGGCCCGGTTGTACGAAGGGTGGATAGCGCTATTCAGCGGATAAATCCTTATTCAGTGGACAAGTCGATGCTGTTATCCAATAAATTTATCAGGTGGATAAGATTTATCCGTGGGATAGCGCTGTCCACCCTTGGTACAACCGGGCCCTGAAATGCCTTTATGGGACGCACGGGTGGCGTAGTGGTGTGAGCGCTCACCTCTCATCAATGCGACCCGAGCTCGTGTCCCGCTGGGTTCGGTGTTGTATATGAGTAGAGTTGTTTGTTGGTTCTCTCCTGTGCTTCGAGGGTTTTCCGGGTTCTCCGGTTTTCCTCCCTCCGCAAAAATCAACTCCTAAATTCCAATTCGATCACAGAATGAGGGCCACAGGTTTGTTCGCCAATGGCTATTAAGTGCTACCCTCGTGAAAAAAGGATGTTTTTTATGTGGAAGGGGAGGGGATCCAGACAATACTCTCAGCCCATACTCTCTTGATCCAGACTAAGTGTAACGATTTTTTTAATGTACAGATCAGTAGCCGAGGAAAAGCTAGCTAAATCACAGAAAGATCTGGACGAACTACAGATAGCTCACATTAAAGAAGTGGACGAGACAAATGAGAAACTGAAAAGACAACGAGAACGCACCGATGAACTCACACAATCGGTAGGTTGAACATTTATTTGAAATATCGAATATAGATATAATTTCATTTCGATATTGAATTTATTTACGCAAAAAGAAAGACGGTCGCAGGATCTAGCAGAACTTTACGCGCGCGGATGGCGTAAGCGCTGTGCTCCGTTCACTTGTAAAGCACAGTTTTCAACCAATCAGCGCGCGCGTACTATCCTAACTATTTACTGATAAAATATATATTGCCGTATCGTATAAGACATTTTAGTGTAACAGCATGTTTTCGTGCCGTGAAGGCCAGTTTTCCGCCCACACGACAATAGTTTTTTTTCACGCGAAAGACGGAAACTTCTCCGCAAAACTGTCGCATAAGTGTTCACAGATAACGGGATCAGAACGATATATTGTGWATAACGTTTATAATGGTGTATTTAATTCCCCTATAGCTTGGAGAAGCAGAGAAGAAACATGGAATGGTGGCCGTGGAACTGAAGTCGGTACAGCGAAAACTGCAACTGGAGATTAAATCAAACAATAAATACAAGATTGAGGTACCAAGATTAAGATATACATGTATCATGTTCTTTTTTCAGTATTATACGTAAAAAGGAAATACTTCTTTCTCTTACTCATCTTCTTCTTCTTCTTCTTCTTCTTCTTCCCTTTGTTGTACATATCATCCTCACCATCACCATCATCATCATCATCATCATTAATCTTCTTCTCTGAAGTAACTAGCAATTGACCATCATTTAAAACTGTTAGATATTTGGGAGAAGCGTAATTGTCATCGCAAGTCTTGCCAACCAAACGACCATCCAATGTGAATTTTTGGATGCGATTATTCCTACGATCACAGACCAGTAGATGATGGTCATTATCAATAGCCAGGCCCCATGGTTTACTCAGCTGACCGTCAGCACTGCCTTTACCACCAATCGTCGATATTCTAATCGGTACGYTACCATCCCTCTCGAACACATGAATAACGCAGTTAACCGAATCACTGACGTAAAACCGTCCATCATGTGTTACTGCGCTAATTGGATAAAAGATGTATGGACCCGATAAACCAAACTGATATTGATAGTCACCGTCTCTTGTGAAGACTTGAACACGATGATTACCAAAATCACACACAATGATGTTCCCATCGACATCAACGTGTACTCCTTGTGGTTCTTGGAACTCTCCATCCCCGTTACCATGGTTACCAAAGGTCTTTACCAATGTCCCTGTCGTAGTGTTCACTATACAAATTCTATAATTACCCCAGTCTGCTATGACTAAATCTGTTTCGTTCAGAAATGAAATACCTTGAGGGTAACGAAGGCTTGTATACGTCAGTAAGTGATCTCCGTTAGTGTTGAATACATGAACACAGTGCAATGACTCATCTGCAACAGCGATTCTAGTGTTTTCTTTATTTACAGCTATCCAAGAATAACCTCGAGATTTTTTCTCTATATCTTTCATCTGAAACTCTATTGCTATTCCCATCTTCTGTGGCTTGACATTTATCACTAGTGGACTGTTAGATACATGATTCCCATTCACTTGAACCTCTGCTGTCAGTTGACCAGCTACTTTAGGTATGAACTCCACTTCTAGTTTACCATCAGCTCTCACATAGTTTTCTTTTATTTCCACATTATCTTCAGGGCTGATTTTAACATCAATAACATCAGTTAGATAATCAGTGGTTCTTCCAGTTTTGCTTTTCCTCGATATGGTCAGCTTAGATTTCTTTGTTGCTTCAAGTTCACTTTCAACTTCAGCGGTGCTCATCTTGTGATCTGTTTCAATTTTGCTTAAGGTTCCCAGACCAGAATTCACTTGTTTCCTCAATTCATCGTTAAATTCAAATTCTTTATCTAAGTGACGAATTTTTTCAATAAGTTCATCACCTTCGAGAATATTATCATTGTATTCCAAGTCTTTGACATGAATAACGTCAGTTTGAGTTCCTATTTCTATCAGTTTCTTCATGTATTCCATGGCACCACGTGTCTGATCGAGCACAGACTGACCTTTGACTGTTATTTTCTCAGCCTCGTCAACATCATCGTCTATTTGCTTTATCAGCTCCATCGCTTTCATTTGCAACTCTTTAATACTCTCTTCCAGTTTTTTCTTTATCTCTCGCTTTTCTTTTTCTCCAGATTCTCTCAATTCTTCAGTTACTTCTTGCATATCCTTGAATTTCTTTTCCATTGTTTGCTTACGTATTTTAAGGTGCTCAAGTTTATCAGACAGCAAAACACTTTTACTCTTTGCATATTTTGATAAAGTGATGGTTGAATGACCTTCATGGTCATGTTTCAAGCATTCCAAGCAGATAATTTCTTCACAGTCTTTACAGAATAACTCTACTATTTTATCAACGTGGTCTACACAGTTGGTTTCTCTGCTCATCATCAGTTTGATGTCTCCTTCTTTTATATCTACAAGAGATACAACTTTGTGATCTTTGATAAACACTGAATGGTTCTTCTCACATTCGTCACACAACGAGCGATTACACTCAAAGCAATGCCAAGATGCTGGTGGATGACTCCCAGAAACAGAACAAACCTTCTCACTTTCTACAAACTCCAACACCTTCAACATCCTTGAGTGCAGCAGACTTGGTTCTAGATCATCAACGCTGTTTAGTTCTGGCAGAGGAGTTTCTGATTTACATTTTGGACACTTGAAGACGTTGACTTCCTCGATCAGCTCGGCGTGCCTTTTAATACAAGGCTTACAAAATGTGTGGAAACACGAAAAGATTTTGGGTTCAGTAAGTCGATCATTACAAAGAGAGCATAGGACGTCTTTTTTAAGGTTTTCAAGGAAGGAATCCATGTTGTACTAAGCGAGGGAATTGATAGATATAAAATATTACATATCAACTTACTTCTGAGGAAAATCATGTGACCTTGAAAGTCAATTCTTGGAATTGAAGCATGCGTACTAAGGACATCAACTCTTAAAATATTAAAAACTTAAGAAATGGTATAATTTGTATTCAAGCACATGTAAAATATATTGTATAGACATGAAATGAAATGGGATAACATTTTCTGTATCATACAAAAATTTTATTTAGTCATAAATGGTGTTTAGTGTTAATGATGTTGATGGTGGTGGTGGTAATGGTGGTGATGTAAGATTGTTTTAATCTTATCGCTCCAAGTATCTGGTATGATACCGCTATTGGAGAGGTAAGATTAATAAAAATGTTAATAAAAACATGTTATTTAGAACGAGAGACTGGAGTCCCAAATCTCCAACCTCAAAGCCACCAACTTCCAAATCAACCAGAACATTGCATCAGTAATGGAGAAGTTCGAGGAGGTGAATAACCAGAGAGCTGCTCTGGCAGAACAGCTGGATGTGATGGAATCATCTTATGCCGAAGAGAGGCTCAAGCTAGAGGCAACCAAAGCACAACAGACAAAGCTGATTGACTTCTTACAGTACAAGACTGAAGGACAAAATATGAAAAAGAAGAAAGTAAGTAAAGTAGTAGTAGTACTTAACACCAGGCAATTGRTTCAGTCTTATAGGGCAACTTGTCGCGCGGCTTTGCTGCAGACTTTAGCAATCTTAGCTATATACAGGTCAAGTTCTAATTTTTGCAACTTTTGTATTAAGAATTTCAAGATATTGCCTATAGTGAAACACCATTGCAAAACAGTTACAACCAGTGGCGGGTCCAGGGGAGGGGTGCAGGGGAAGCGCCTTTTTCCCTTTGATTATAAGAGGTGCACCCCTCCCTGGGTTAACTATGTGTGCTGCACCCCTCCCTGAACAAATTTCTGTATCTGCCCCTGACAACTGAATCTTTTTGTAGCCTTTTGTAGGTCTCGTTGGTTGCGAGGATTACTTTAAATTGAGACCTTTAAAGGAAAAGACATATTTATGAATCTTTTCTTTCTTTGCGTCCGAGATGGCCTGTCATAATGGGACTTTCTCAGGCGGCAGCCATGATGGGTGAAACAATTTTTTCCCTGTGCAGCTTGGCATTCAAGCAGGATGTGAATAAACATGGTTGCCGCGAAACAAAGGTCCATTATAGACTCCTAAAATTTGACAGCTTCATAGACGTCATTGCCAGACTTTAAAAAGACGTTTTGTGTTTTTATGTAGCTTATTGGTGGAGGAGGAAAAACATGGCGTAAACAGCACCATGATGAACGTAATGTTATACCTAAACAATGGAAAGACATGCAACAAGCACTCGAGAAAGAACGAGCATCTAGTCTGAAACTACAAACAGARCTAAACAGGACTAAAGCTGAACTACAAACCGCTAAAATGGAAGGTTAGTGTTACTGTAGTGTATATAACACGCGATATAATTGGTCGAACACTTGCACTTTGTCTTCCTCTAGATTCGAGGGGATTGATACCTAGGAGCATGAAAACGAGGCCAGTTGACTTTTTTTTTTAATTATCATATTTAGTTGCTGAATGGAAATCCCAGTGTCAGAACGCGACAATCTCCAACAGAAAACCAGTACAAAAAGTAGCTGTGCTATCAGCCTTRCAACAGTCTCCTAGCAACCAGCAAGCACCTAAGAACACCCTTAAAAACAGTAACCCAGCTGGGAAACCACCTCTACCTACTGAACCAACAGTTCATAGACCTAAGGAAAGAATGCACCATAATATTCCACACAGGTAACGTTATTCTAGGATCCCTATTGCATGTGTCACGCGAAGTATGTGTCACGTGAAATATGTGTCACGCGTCAAGAGATTGGAAGGTTTCTGAACGTATTGTTTAGTTAACCTTCCCGGCAGTAGAACACATTTAAACGAGTACTTTCTCGGCACAGTAAACCTCTAGGTTYATTGATAATAATATCTTTGTTGTTGATTCAGGTTTGTTAATGCATTAAACATGAGGCCTGTCAAGTGYGCTGTTTGTCTGGACACGGTACATTTTGGACGACAGTCCTGTAAATGCGCAGGTACATTGATTCGATTTTTTAAGATAACTCAGCTGTGCGCCTAGTGCATTTGCCTTTTCACGTTCAAACATCGACTGGTAACAAATGAACGGTGGATAGTATTGTGGCGCTGAATTAGTCGGGGATGAGATCGAAAAGCTTGGCGTCCCAATATTCAGAAATAACATCCCGTGCACCAAGAGGGCATCACCAGTCTTCGTTTAAACTATGAAAAGGGGAATCTCCAACAATATCGATAATTTGATGACGCAAATGATGATGATGCTTTGAAGATAGACCCAATTTACTGTTTTCCCATTTCAGACCACCTRTCATTACCTAGAGTATCATTTCTTTGTTTAACGGTTGCCCATGAAAAGACACGTGAATATGGATACATCTTATTCTCACTGAATATGAATACATCTTATTCTCAAGAGAGTAACACGTGGTCTGAAATGGGCAAAACATTAAGCCCAAGTGGATTTAATGCATTCTAACCATTGTTATTACTTTTTTTGGATGACAGAATGCAGCTCAGTCTGCCACAACAAGTGCGCACCACACCTATCCCACACTTGTGGACTTCCTTCGCAGTTTGTAGAACATTTCAGTGAGGCGCTGAGTGATAACAAGACAGATTCACCTGTTAAGTCTTCTTCTACATCATCTCTGAATGGAGGGATAGAGAACTGGATGAAAGTACCAAGGTACGTAAGGAAAGATTGTCTTCGATTGAGTGGGGTGCTGAATTTCAGCACGTAATAAACGGTACGACGTACCATGACAATAGACTGGTTTTCGTATAAGTGGGAAACGACACGGTAGATTTATAGACGGTACTGTAGCTGTACCGTAGACGCACCGAATCTTACCGTAACTTGAACTATGCATCGTGATTGGTTGATTTACTGGAAGACAATAGGGAACCATTTCAATGATACGGCATGTCGTACCGTGTACGTGCTGTAAATCGGTATTTTTCTACTTATTAGGAAACCGCTCTAGAATGGCAGCAGTTTTACCACAAGTTTTTCCCCCTTTTTTTTTTTTACTTTGTACTACAAGGATTATAAGCCCTTTTTTCTTAAACATCAAAAATAAATATTCACTTTTTTTTTTGCTTATCATGACAGTGGTTCAGTAAAATATGGCTGGGAGAAGAAGTGGGTGATGTTACGTGATAACAAGATTCAGTTGTTTGATAAAGAGAATGTTAAAGGTAAGGATTTTATAGTACTAACCTTCTCAACACCAAGGAATCAGGAACATGTGTGACTTTGGTCAAGATGTTTAGAGACTGAGATGAAAAATGATAAAGCCGTGCCGTGACCGTGACGGTGTTGCGTTTGAGAATTTTGATTGGATGACCAGCGATCTTGCGTGCTGTGATTGGTTGAATAGATATCGTCAGTCTCCTCCCCACGCCACGTTGCCCTCATCCAAAAACTTTATTGATCAAGCAAGCATAGTTTGGTCCAGTAATACACAGAATCGAAATATGTCGACCAATTTGAATGACTATTGTTCTGCACTGACTAGCGACTGACTGGCATCGTGTTCACGTCGAAACATAAAAGCGTTTTCATATGCATGAGTGCTAGTCAGCCCTGGGCCCGGTTGTATGAAGCCTGGATAGCGCTATCCGGTGGATAAATCCTTATCCAGTGGATAAGTCGATGCTGTTTTGCAATAAATTTATCCACTGGATAAGATTTATCTATCGGATAGCGCAATCAATCTATGTACAACCGGGCCCAGAACAATAGTTATTCAAATTGGTCATCATTTTTTGATTTGGTGGATAAATTGAAAAGATTATTGTAACCTGGAAAATATTAACTTCTACTTTCTCCTTTTTCTCTTCAGACAAAACGTCTCCCATAGAAATTCTTCACCTGGATGGCACTGATGGTCACGTGACCATTCATTCATCAGTGATGTCATCAGAGTTGCTAGGCACAGCTCCTACTGACCTCCCTTACATTCTAAGGATCGAGTCACGCCCCAAGTGTTGGCCTGTACAGAACCTGTACTTTATGGCCCCTAGCTTTGCTGACAAGCAAAAATGGGTGGTGGCTCTGGAGAATACACTGAATCAGATCAAGAAGGCTATTCAGAGCAACAGTGATGAGGTACATATCAGAGGAAAAGCTAGGTTTTATGGGGTTCAAGTAGAATTGAACAGTGAGATTTTTTTARGGGGAACTGTTTAATGAAGGGTGAGGAGGGAAGAGAGTAGAAGGAAAATAAAATGCTTAATAACTTTCTTAATACAGCGAACATGGTGCATTCTGGTCTAGCTTGGGTACAAATTGTGTATCTCGCCTTATTGTTACTCAAACAAGCCTAGAATACACTTCGTAGAATATTCAAATAGCGGGGGATTCTTACAGCCCCTCCCTTCTCCTCCCCCCTCCCTTCTTCCACATGCTCTCAAACAGTATGCCCCTATGCAGGCTAGTAATTTAGGGAAGAACCTGTTCAATCATTTTGTTAATAGTTGGAAACTGTACGTTTGTTCCACAGAAACTGTTTGGTAACAGCTTGTTATATCTTGAGAATAGTGATAAGATCGACATCAACTGTTCACAGCTGCTAAGTGATGAGGTAAGACAGGCAAACTTATTATCTGCGATCTGAGAACAATCCTAAAGAACAAAAAAAATGAGGCCCATGATATTTCGAAGCCAATAAGAATGCAGGAACTGTAATACTCCATGTGCCATTAGCTCTTTCAAACTTAAGTTGTTTTGTTTTTTGATTTTCTAGCTGTTGCTTCTTGGTGCAGAGGAGGGGCTGTTTTCAATGTCTCTTTCGAAACCTGGCCATGGCTCTCATCGTGTTATTCCTGGCATTGAGAAAGTCTTCCAGATTGATGTTATACCTGAACTGAATATTGCCATCATGCTGACTGGTAAGAAGAATCTAAACTTCTAGCATTAAAGCTGTCTTGGCATAGTCAACATATAATTATACTATAGGTTGCTATCAATGATAATAATAATACTACTTTATATTCAAATTCAAATACATGCAAATACATGACTGAAATTGCTAAAGGTGGACCTCAACCCTATATTCAAGTCCCCTGAATAGACGTCACTTCCGATAATAGCTGCGTTTTTAATGGCTTGTAGAATCTTGGAGGTTGTTTTGATCTCTTGTTTTCTGGTTTGATGTCGTGAAAATAGTCAAATACAATAGTTTGAGGACTTATTTTGATATGTTTTGACTTAACATCCGCTAGTTGCCCCTCAGTCAACCGCTTGTCTGCCCCCCAGTCAACTCCAAAAAGCCACGTTATTGATAGTAAGCAATTTAGACTGATGGTTGGGTTGGTGGGTAAATGGAAGAATGGATGGGATAACAGGAGTGATGCATGATGAATAGATAAATGTATAGGTTGGGGGATAGTTAGATGAAATTTAGAAGATTTTTAAATCCAGGAGAGATAATAAAACATGTCTTTTGCTTGAATTTGTTTGAACGCAAAACGTACAGCACAATGATTTGTCGTGTTCTAGCACTTTGATTGGCTTATATACCCTTTAGGGGCGTTATATGGGTTCACGTGAGATTTTAAACATCACCAGGGTGTTGTGCGAAGCTTCACTAACATCTCATCAAAATATCCCAACTTGAACACCAATTGTCTGCATTTATCTTGTTTGGTGACCATAGGCAAGGAACGTCACCTCTGCAGTGTTGATCTGAAGCAACTCAATTCACGTGGCAAGCAAGTTAATTCTGAAGTTCCTCTAACACCGCTGACCTCACAGACCATCGAGAAGATCAAAAACTGTCACTTGTTTGCCATGGGACAGGTAACTAGCTGATGTGACGTCATTTCCGTTTCCAAAACGAGTTATTAGTGGATGCTGTAGTTAGTAGTTTCCTTGAACTTTYTTTGAATAAAATTTCTTTTTTTGAGCTACATAAATCTGGCTTTTTATTTATCTATTTTCATTTATTAGTTTTACAACTAGTTATGACTGAGTATACAAACAAATGATGTAAAAACTAGATGAGGGAAMGCAACAGAACAAGAGTCCCATATAAAGTTCCTTCTCTGTCTCATTGAACCATTAACCACGAAGAAAGTAATAGTACTCAATGGCGTGACACGATGCCCTAGTAACGTCTAACTCCTGTTTTCTTTATTTCAGTACGATGGCAGTTATTACGTATGTGCAGCCACGCCCAACAAGCTTCATCTTCTACGCTTCAATGCTGGCATGAACGCCTTCTGCACCAGAAAGGTAAGATGACTTTGGAAAAGGAAAATCGTTAAGCCAATAGATAGAGTAATTAATGAGCTATTAAAGGTATTTTCCAGKGGTTGTTTGCACTGAGTTCCACGACAGCCGTTTCGTAGGACAGGGACAGCGTATTATTTTGAATGTCAAGAGCTTTTATTTTCGGAAGGAGAACATATTTTTATGTTTGCCCCTCAAGATGGCTTAGTCTTGWAATCCCCTCTTTAGGGGAAGGGATCGCATACTAATAAAGAAGTATTACTAAAAGATGTGTTTGTTTGTTCGTTTGTTTGTTGATAGGAGATTGATACTGCTGATCCTTGTAACTGCATTCATTTTGCTGACACTAGTGTAGTGTACGGTACCGGCAAGTTTTATAGTTTGGACTTGAGGCAGTACAATATTTCAGGTGAATATTGATCAACATTACTACGTTATCTCACCGATCTTTATCTTTATCATCGCTGCTACTGCCGTCATCATCCTTAACATCACTATCTCCATCCATGACCATCACTCTCATTTCTGATATTGTCATCATCATCATCACTACTGACATCATCAACATTCGTCATAAGTCACCACAGTCCCTCTTACCATTGCCACCATCATCATTGCTACCATCATCATTGCCACCATCATCATTGCCACCATCATCATTGCCACCATCATCATTGCCACCATCATCATTGCCACCATCATCATCATTGCCACCGTCATCATCATTGCCACCATCATCATTGCTACCATCATCATCATTGCTACCATCATCATCATTGCTACCATCATCATTGCTACCATCATCATTGCCACCATCATCATTGCCACCATCATCATTGCCACCATCATCATCTTCCCCCATAATTTATCACTATCATTAATTCGTACCATTCATACCATCACCGTTGGTTTCTTTTATTCAATAAGGTTGTTATCCTTTATCAATACTTTATTCGGCTTCGTTCTTCTGAATGTTCACTTTTGTTTATAGAGTTCCTAGATGCTCAGGACACCTCCCTAGCCTTTGCTGTGTATGGTGCAGCACAGCTGAACATCTTCCCTATCGCTGTGCTTGACGTCACTTCCGCCGGATGTAAAGACAGGGAATTTCTTCTCTGTTACAATGGTATGTTCTACACCGTCTCTTTATCTGGATCGTATAGTTACGTGTGCAACAGTGTTTGTTTTATCAGCTTCAAACCATTGCTAGTTTATTAAAACTGCGAGAAATGCGTTGAAAGTACCGTGTTTTTAGGACGCTGGACCGTTGCCGTGCATGTATTCTTTTCCAGGTATCGTGCTACTCCTTAAACTCCTTGAATTTAATTCACGTTTTCAAGGGCACTTGAAAAACTCTTGAATTCTATGATGTTAACAAAACTCCTTGGATTTTTGCTTTGATCAATACTTGTATGGTTCTGAAATAGATCTAGTCAGAAAGATCGGAAAATCTGAAAGTCCGCCATGTGCAACCACCGTATAAAACCTTCGCATAGTTAGCTGAACATACTCCTTAAATAGTCCTTGAATTTTAAGTCGTTACCTCGGCA